TCGGGGATTATAATTAGGAACTTTTGTAGACCAAGCTGTACCAATACCTTCCGCTCCATTTACCAAAACAGTTGGTATTATAGGGCAGTACCTTAAATAATAATAACAAACTATTCTAAACAGTACACCTGTCACACCAGTTAATTGTACAAAATAGAACAAATTAACCATTCTGGCTCGATCCGCTGATTCTCCTCAAACAAAAACCTTAGAACATTTTCGTCAACAGGCGGAAAAAGGGCACGAGCGACAGGACTGCAAAATTGAGGAAAAATTAAGACTGAACAAATTGTTTATCTAAAAAACCAAAAGCCTACACCAAGTAAGCTTTAAATTTTACAGAAATGTCACCATAATGTAATAAACTCACTTAAGTTGGGTAAAAATATAACGAGGACTCGCGCTGTCTTTACCTCCTTGTAGACGAGTGCCAAACTGTCCAATGGGTAAAAGAAGGTTGATGTTATTTGAGCCAACAAAATCTTGAGCCAAATTAACAATAGTTGACATAAGAGATTGCTGAAAAATTGCAAAATATATTTTCATTGTCAAAAAACTCTTATTTTTCAGTCAATTCATAAAGCTAAGTTGTTATGTAGCTAACAATAACACAACTAACAAACCTCTCCATGATGATACGCAGACATCTCCCCAACTGCCCCAGCTAACTGAGCAACTTTGATTTCTTTTCTGTCAGCACGTTTAAAACATGTAAAAAGTACCTAAATTACAGAAGTTATGTAGACGGTCACAAAAAGAGCCAGTAGAAAGGCAAGGAAGCCAAGTGCGACCGAGTTTAAAGATATATAAAAAACAACTACACAATTTTTTTAAATCCTGAGTGGCAAACGAATTACCTTGCGCTGACCTGGCTTCAGCCCGTCAACCAGACTTGGAATTGAACGTTCGTTATCAGCATTTGAAAAAAGAACCAATTCCTTGTTGACAAAGTCTTTGAATGAAACACTTTTAGTGTTTTTATCATACAAGTATTCCTCAGTAAGTCCTTGTTCTCTTCTTTCTTTCTTTTCCTAAAAGATAGTACCCTTGAATTTTATTTCAATTCTAAAAAGGTTTGCGATTTCCCTACAAAAACTTGCTATTTATCCTTCGATAACAGATCCAAAATAAAGCAGTAGTCATAAACCAAAAAAAAAAAAAAA